TGCTCTTCCGATCTTCGTTTTTATCGCGTACGGCTAGACAAGGTTTAGGAAGCAAAATTTTAATGTCGTAAGGTCAAGTCAAATCGATGTAAACAACTTGTCACAGTCTGGGAACAGCCTGTACATATATACATATAATCACGGAAGTTTCTTATCGCGTAGGTATTATATTAATATCTGCGAAGAATATTTGCGAAGCATTTGAGTAAGCATTTGAATATGAATTAATTTCAAGACTAAAATAGTGAAACACGCATGCATAGTAAATTATTCCTATTTTTATTGTAGTATAATATAATATAACTATAAGTAAGAATACATGTTGTGCAATACTTATTGATAAATTAAAATTTGTGCGATATACAGTTTTCTCCTACACTAAAATATGACGCATGTAAAAAAGAAATTCCAGTAGCTGTTGTTGCTCCACCATCTGCTCGTGGAAGTGTTAAATTTGAATTATCAAATTTAATTCGGCAGAGGCAAAGTGCTTAAGAACATTCACAAGTTGAACGAGCTGAAGAATATTTCAGTGATGATGATTAAAGATAGAGGTTAATAGGCTTGAATTGTAAACACTGAAGTAAATAATAAAATAAAAATATATACGAAATTTGTAATTATCATAACATTTAATTTTAACTTACAGGTTTAATACACATATATGTAACGAGAATGCGCAAAAAGAAAAAAAGGTGAAAAATGGAAAAAATAAATATTTACTATTCACATTATTTAATTATACATAATATGAGCTGAATACATCTTTACAACTTATAGTATAAATAAAACAGTAAAACAACAAAATTGTGTTAATAATATAGTTTTTTGTTAATATTATTGTCTTTTAGAGTAACTATAATACATATATTAACAGTACGTATAATATCGCTAGTCCGGAGCAATAGTCATATCTCAAAAAATGTCATTTTTCAGGAGAGCTTTTCAAAGATTGGCAAAAATACCCACAAGTAGAAATGGCATTTTTGGCGAAAAATGGTATTTTAAAGATATGCCTCTATTGTTCCGAACTAGCGATATATTAAAGTGATATCAATAAAATTACAAATAATGTAAATATAATATTTATGATAGATTCAAATTAATCAGTTTGGTGAATCATGATGTAAGCAATCTTTTTGCATACAACATTATTTTCATGATCATTATATTTGTGGTCAAATATTTTTCCTTTCATTGTTATTCCTTTCCTTTCATTGTTATCCCTTGTTAAATGCAAAAAATGCGAGCGGAATGAGCTACGTGAAGAATTGCTGGGAGCGCGCAGCGTAAGCGAGTACGGATATGGTGTGCACATAGAGGCGTTTTGTAATTATTCCTCGTAAAAATGATACTTTTGGAAAATAACTTTATCACACATAGTTGAATTCGTATTAAAATAACCTTTAATTTGGTCACAAAAAAAATTTAAAAATTAAAAAAAAAGATGTGAAGTGGTGGGGGAAACATTTAAAAAAATTTAAAAAAAATTTTTTTTTACTACTATCATAAAGTTCACTTCATGCCATTTAACTTTGATTCAAAACATTTTTTTCTATCTCATAATTTCGACGATATTCACGTTGAAAGAAAAAAACCGATTTTTTTCAAGGGGTGCTTTCATCCCTTTAAAACGGAATTGAGCACCAACAAAAAATAGTTTTATGCTAGGAATGAACTGCTCTACTTTTACATCAAGAGTCAGATTTTTCTGAATTTTCGGGTTCGCAAACTTCCCTTGTTAGTTTTTAACTGCGGATTGTATATCCGTAGAATAGAAAAAGTAATGAGCGCTGATTTAAGGTCGTTGAATGCACTAATACATTTATCGTCAAAATTAAATATTGTATCCTTCTTTAGTAATGAATAAAGAAGATGAGCTCTTTCCGCGAAATGCGGTATAAACTTCCTAAAGTAACTAACTAGACCAAGAAACCTTTGAACCTCATGGATATTCCGAGGAACTAGAAAAAGTTCAACTGCTTCGACGTGGTGTTTGCTTAGGATGATGCCCTGTTTTGAAACGATATATCCTAAGTATTCAACTGTCTTTTTAAGGAATTGACATTTTTCGTAATTAACATCAAAAGCGTATTGTTTCCAAATTTTCAAACATTGAGCTAAGATTTCTAATTCCTCTTGGGCGGTTTCGGATGGTATTAATATATCATCCATGTACACTAATATTTTATTCTCTTTAATGAAGGGTCATAAAATATATAATAAACGTTTCTGGAACTCCGCTGGGGACTCAGAATAACCAAACGGTAGTTTTAAGTACTCGTATTGGCCCTCCAGAGTCGCGAACGAGAAATATCTAGTGCACTCTGTATAACTCGGAATGGAATGGAAACTTTCCTTCAAATCAAGCAGCGTAAATACTTTTTTGTTTGCTAACTGTGACAAACAATCCTCGATAAGAGGGAACAAATATTTCTGTTTTACTACTCGATGGTTCAGGGGGCGGAGGTCTACACATAGACGCATTTTTCCGTTTCGCTTACGTACCGGCACTATTCGGGCACAATATGGTGAGGAACTTTCCTTGATGACACCGCGTGCAAGTAAGTCATCCATAATTTCACGAATTTGTTGGCGTTTCAGCCCGCATGCAAAAAGGGTGCATACGCAAAAATAGAATTATCTTTAATATTAACTGTAACCGGATGTATGTTTTTCTTTTCTTCAACTGGAATATCCTGTATTTCGCGAATAATTTGACACACTTGTTTGTCCACTTCACCACCGAAGTCTGTCTTTATTTCCGAGACTGAAAGGTCTGTATCTTCGTCCTCTAATATCTCAACCGAGGCTACTTCATTAAATAATTTTAAGCGTTCTTTAAGCTTTGCTTCAGCAGGGTTGTAAAGCAAAGTTAATTTATTTCGTAATATGAAATCTCGCCCTAGAATTAGGTGAGTTGACCAACCATTATTGGCAATAACGTAACATTGCGTGCGAACTTTAACATTCGGTAAGATAGGCAAACAGAAGTAAAAATCTCTTTTCCCGATAACTTGATTTCTCAAGTTATTTCTCAAGTTACAGCGCGTAACCCTTTAAATGAAGAATTATTAAAAGTAGGCGATTGCCCAAACAGAGATTTATAAACGCTTTCTTGTATAAGTGAAACTGAACTCCCGGTATCAATCAACGCTAATAAATTACATTTAATTTCCTCAACCGCGTTGATTTCTACGACCAAATCACTTATCTGAAGTGAGCATGACTCATCGTCTTCGAGACATCCGACTTTCGATAGATCGGCCTCATTGAGATCCTCCGATGATATTCGAACTTCGTGATCTTCCGCTGCGGCTGCTACCGTCAAAGATGGAGCAGCAGGCGTAAACATGGTTGTTCCTTTTCTTCAATTTTTCGCAATTGGCCTTGAGATGACCCTTGGCTTTACAATAAACACAGAAAGAGTATGGGTTGATTTGGTTGTATGTCTTCTTAGACGGTGATTAAGGCGCATCATGCTCCTTGAACTTTTTTTTTAATAGAGGGAGGCGAACGTTTGTAAGCTATCACACCGCAGGCCGACATTATCTCGGACATTTCTTCCAGGAAATCGGGAACAGTTTGAGCTCGTAACAAAGCAGCAGAACTCCGTAAAGAGAAACTAGGAATGCCATCTATAATCAACTGAATCTGATCTTTCTGTATAAGTCGAAGATTATGCATCAACTTAAGTTTCTGTTGTGCATAATCTTGAAAGAATTTTTTCTGAAAATTTCATTTGTAAGCTTCTATCTTTTGTATAGCCTGATGAATCGGAATGTACCGTCTAAAACAACGTATAATGGCTTCTTTGAATAGAGGCCATGAATCACAGATGTGACCATCATCCAGATCAAATCATTCTCGAGCATTTTTTGAAAGCTTGCTCGACGCTGCAAGAAGGGTGATTCCTTTACTGATTCCATGGATGGCTGTTACTCTATCCACTTTACGAACCTATAGTTCGATATCTTCATCCGCCGATCCACTAAAGATGGGAAGCTGACTTGCTAAGATCTTGACTGCCTGAGGGTTAGTTAAACCATTTGATGTCGTGTAAGCGGGCGGTATGTCCGGCGAACTGGATGGTATTGCCGTGTAAGTTGCATTTGTGCCCGGCGAATTGGAAAGTAACACTGTTTAGGACATCCATGGTGCACTTGAAGCCGGCGCCTGCAGCTTTGATGCGGCAGAAGGAAGATATGCACAACTGTCTTTTGATTCACCGACGAGGTACTCGGATTAGTGTAAAACACATTTGGCACCTCACTATTTATCACTGGATATGGAACGTCTGGTTTGTTGTCTTTCAACCGTGTAACTTCCCGATGTAGTGACACTTGTTGATTCCGTAGCTCAGCAACCTGTTCGGTCATTTGATTCTGCAGCCCAGCCACTTGTTGGGAGAGCAAACGGATAACAGTTTCCAATGAGTCTTTTGGTTGAAACCCCGTGTTAACTGATTTTTTCTCTGACTCTGACAGATTTTGTGACATCTTTGAGGTGACATCTCCTTCATCGCGAGGCCCAGAGGCATCACGCTCTTCTTCAAATTTAATTAGTCTATCAATGCAGATATGAGGCTCCGTACTTCTCAGCAAGTCACGTTTCTTAAGCTCGCCATGTAACTGTTTAAGCGTAAGAGTCTCCAAATAAACACGATCCATGGTACCGCTGCCGGAGCGTGTGACAACCATCACTTAGAACTTGCGATGAAGAATAGAATTCATTGCGTAGCAACAGAAACGACGCGCATGAAGAAACGAGACCGTTACGATTGTTCACAAAATAGTGTAGTAAAACGATGTTTATGGTTGTAAATATATGCATATATATATATATATATATATTATTATTATTATTGTTACTACTATTATCTTAAATAAAATTTAAAGGCATTACAAGATTATTTGTTGATACATATTATTTTAAA